AAACTTGATGAGGACATTGGAACTTCAGCAATGAAGTTACTCAAGTTGCACAGAATTTGTTCTCTGAGAATTGCACACACAGCTCCAAAAATGACAAAGCCTAAACAGGTCAGCCCCTCAATAAAGTTTTGCAGTATATGATTTTATTTTCTTGAGACAGCTGTTAAATTTCTATCCCTCATGTCATTCTTTCAATGACATTGTAAAGAGGATCTGAAATGGATATATAGAGAAAATAGGGAAAAAAAAGGCATGGAAGGAAAGAGGATTGTATAGTTTTTGAATATATATTTATTCTACAATGCTTCTGAAATTACTAGCAGTTTGTATAACCTAATACCTGAAAGGTAATTTGATTTAGTCTTGAGTTTCCTCTAGAGAGTTTACTTTAATGGCATCTATTTTGAACAGTGCAAATTAAAAACAGTTATACTGCTGTTTTTTATTTTTACAGCAAAACCAAACCTTGAAAGAATTAGGCACCTTTATAGCTAAAGTTACTATCAAAGGTGTCATTAGAAGCAACCATAACACACTATTCTATTATCTATATGCAGCATACGGAGTTTTATATAAAAATCAAAAGAAAATTGTATAAAATTTTTTGTCATGAGACTGACAGATTGGATTTTATAGAACTACTTCACACTTTCTACTCTTGAAGGATAATTTGTATCTAATTTTACAGCCACTAAAATCCACTTACATCGCAGTCACTAACCTTATATCAATTCATCATCAGATAAGGATATGCTCTCTGGCTGACATTCTATGTGCAAAAATTCTTTATGAATTCTGTTGTGATGTTTTTTCAGACCCAGGGGAAATTTAATCATGAGAAAGTCTTTTTGTTGTAATAGTCTGTAGAACAAGTTCAGTGGCAGTATCTCCCTGGGTTACACATCAATCAGCAGAAAATAGTTCAAAATTTTTCACTTTTTTTTTTTCAAGAAAATTTATGGAAATTGTCTTTTTAATCATTGAAAACTTTGTGGGTACTGGAAATATTCTGCTTAGCATTTTAAAGGTAGACTGATGGAGTAAAATACAAGCCTTGCAGCACTGCATTCCAAAGGCACTTATTCCCTCCCTGACTCTCTTGATACATAACAGTGGTTGCACAGACAAACCATACATTATTCCTGCTCCAGGTATGAGCAGTCTATATTGTCAAATATAGGAAAAGCATTATTCAGAAGGAAGAGGGCTTTCTTATTGGAATAAAAGAAAGAATTATTTCCCTCTTCCCCCTCCCAGACTTAATTTTCATTTTCAATAGCCACCTTTGCAGTAGTACCTTTTTTTGTGTTGAAGTTATAAGACACATACTGTGATTACTGAGAAACAGGGTAGCATATATACAGTGTAATTAACTTTTTAATGAAATGAGTTTTTATTATGTTAATAGTTTAATTTATTCAGTTATTAAAATGGAATAGCGATACTAAATTTACAACTCAAATGCAAAATTACCTAAGTATTAATTCACCTGAATTACCTATTACTATCATGTTGTAAATTTTTTATTGTCATGCCAATAAATTATGAGGCTTTTCAGCTACTGGCACATCTTATGCCATTCTTGATCTAGGTTGAGATTTCTTACTTAAGCAAATATACTTCAGCAGAGTATTTCTGGTTTTTAAAAGTACCATGTACTTCTCAGCTATGACAAGTCACTTTCATAGTGGATACACCACAACAGTGGAGGATTTAAGGGCCAAATCAATCAAATGACCATTTAAATAATGAAGTTATTTGCAACCCAACAAAATTCCAAAATATCCAGTCAAAAAACATTTTAAAACTATGAGGGGGTAGGGAGGGGTGGTAATGATCTTTGCTCTGTTTCCACTATGATTTCCTCTATATAATCATTCATCATGTAGTGGAATTCCAAAGATGCTGGACTAAAAGCCAGGAGGAGTTATTAAGCTGACAGCATCTGCCTGCAAAAAGAAACTGACAAAAACAAAACCACAGATTGTAAAGCTGTGTTCAGCTTCACAACAGACTATCCAGAAATTACAGTAATCAGGCAGCATGGACTGAACAATAACAAAATTAGTATTACTTGTTTTTCCTGTTGCCCTTTGTGAAATGCACTTCTGGGTAAATAAATATTTATTTTGCATTTCTAACAAGTTGTTGGTCACAGTTCTATCTTAAAAGAGACTTTCCCCTCTCTTCTCTATCTTTTCCCCTGCAGATACAGCAAATAATGGAGTTAGTTCCTTGAATATTCAGATTAGAAATGGATGTACTGTCAAGCAGTATTTCACAGGGGTGAAAAACAAACAAAAACAACACAAAACTAACCAGCACCAGCACCATCTACCACCCACCAAAACAAAAAATAAAATACACAAAGTATTTCACAGACTCACAGAACCATTAAGGTTGGAAAAGACCTCCAAGATCATCAGGTCCAACCATCCCCCTACCACCAATGTCATGCACTAAACCATGTCCCTAAGCACCATGTCCGACCTTTCCTTGATCACCCCCAAGGGACGGTGACGCCACCACCTCCCTGGGCAACCCATTCCAATGCCTGACTGCCCTTTCTTAGAAGAAACGTCTTCTGATTTTCAACCTAAACTTCCCTTAGCGCAACTTGAGGCCATTCCCTTTTCTGTCTCTGTTCATTTGCAAGACAATCCCCAGCTCCCCATCACTTCCTTTCAGGTAGCTGTAGAGCACAATAAGGTCTCTACAGGTCAATAAGGTCTCCCCTGAGCATCCGCTTCTCCAGACTAAACACCCCCAGTTGCCTCAGCCACTCCTCACAGGACTTGTGTTTCAGGCCCTTCACCAGCTTTGTATCCCTTCCCTGGACATGTTCCAGGGCCTCAATGTACAAGAAGTACTGAGGGGTCCAGAGAACACCCTCAAAGTGGTCTAGGTTCAATTAGACCCAACTCACTCTGAAGTATCTATAATAGTCATAAAACAATTTAATGAAGTGTTTTCTGAAACACCTATACAGTGAATAATTTGAATTCCTTCATTTTGAAGTTTGATATTTGAGTGTCTTTCTTTGGCACAAAAAATATTAAGTTCACATAAAACAGGAAAGCAAAGGAGACAGCAGTGCTGTCAACTTTCAAAAACACTTCACTACTTTTGGAGATAAATAAGTGTTTTAGAAATGTAAATGCAGTCACATATAAAAAGGTAAAATTGTCAAAAAGAGATATGTCAAAGCCAGTGATGCACAAAAAACCCACACATTTTCTGCTTTGTTTTGGGGGTTTAATAATGAGTCCAAAAAACAGAAGTCTGAAGGTCTACCATTTTGAAATATTCAAAGCTTATTAAATGTAAATCCTCCTGTAATAATGAAAAACTGGAGACTAGCATGAGATTTGAAAAAAGACTTTACATTGCCATGAATTCCCATCAGAGAAATAGAACAGTGCTCCTGGTATGTACATGTTCTCTCTTTATAAAATAAGGTGAGGTCCACTCTCTACTGATGACTGCAACTTTGAATGAAGCAGCATTTTTTGGTACTGGCACAAAGGCAGAGAACAAAAGATCACTTATTTCACAAGTTCTCACTAATTAACTAGCCAGATTTTATCTAATAGAATCTACATTGTCCTCTTGTCCCTCCTCCCAAAAAGAATAGCTACACATTAAAAAAAAAAAAAAAGTTCAAAAACATACATTCATATATGCTGACAAGTTTCAGCACATGGCCTCCTGCCTTGTTTTTATATACAGAGTCCTCCTAGTATAAACACAGTATGTAGATTGTATCTACTCTAGATTTAAATGACACAATATAGTCCCCAAAATATTTTTTGTTGACAGAAATTAAAGAAGTTCTTTGATAGAGAACCTGCAGGTGAGAAGAAAAGTGAAAGTCATCTTTTTTGCCCTAATGTACATTCTGCCTCTGCTGGCATGTGACATGCAATCCTAGACATGCATAAGAAAGGTGAAGAAAACTACTGAAATACTTTTCTCAACTTAAATTAAACATGTTGCCCAGACAAACGCTAGGAAAATTGTTCAGTTATAGTAATAGAAGTGTTTTAAAATTAGAAAATTACTTATTTGTGTAAGTACAGCCATAAGATCTTTAATTAAACAGTGAAAAATAAAAAGGATTACATTATATATGCATATGTATTTAAAAGATCTCATACATAAGATCTTCTTGACCAGGGAAACTAAAAAAATAAATTGTATTTTCTATGTACTTATTTTACATACCTCCACTAAAGTCACAACTACCACAGCACCATCTTCCCAGTGACACATTGCTCTTCAACAACTCCAGTTACTTATTTCCTTTTAATTTTCTTTCCCCTCAGAAAACACACAAAGTATTCCCAGCTTCCTCCATTTCCTAAAACAACAAGCTGGGCAAAAGACACTAACTGCCATCATTTGTTTCAAGAAATGCAAGCCCTGACTGGCCATAGCCAGTAGGCTATTAGGAATAGATATGTAGTGAGATCATGCTGTCAATTTTCCCTTGGCGGGATAATAATTTTTGTCCATTTCTGTAAAAGGTCAATGTTTTATAAAGATTTTAGGAACACTGTACTCTCAAGCCCTTTCTATGAGTTTAAAAATGATGAAATTGGTTTTAAACAAGTGGAGAAGGAAGGGAGAAAGACTAGTAAATGAACAGAGTATAATTTCAAATGTGCTGTCCCCTGAGGAGATATGAAATTATGAAACCTTTTTCCATGAAACATACAGTAATATCATACACTATCTCACAGATTTCCTGACTATAAACATATCCATATACTATAGTACTTCGTACTATATATACATATACATACGTATATACCCGTATATATTTATTTACACATACATGTACATATATGTACTTATACTTAGTACTACTAGTACTAGTAGTTTCTCATGGATGCATGAATTTTAATAGCATATCAGCAATGACAATAACAAATTGTCTAATATACAAGTTGTAGGACTATGGATATGAAAATAGTTGTCACTTTATTACAAAAATTTACCTTGTACGTTAACTTGTTCTTGGTATAATTGGGCACCCATAATACTTTTCGAGTAACATGTCTCACTTGGCAATCTATCACAATATGATCCTGCGCCAGAGGTTTCTTCCCTATTCCCTTAAGGCTAAAGACGCTTTCAGTGCCAGCCATAGCATTTCGCAGAATAAGTCTTCCCTATGACAAAGAAAGAAGGAAAAAAGTTTCAGCACTGTAAAAGTGTCATTTGGCTACCAAACCAATACTTTCAGTCTATTAATCTCAAATCCAGGCAACAAAGCAATCTTAAAGGAAAGTGTTCCTATTGAGGTTTCTAGTTCTTATGTAAATACTTCTGTTACACAGAGGAAGACTCAAGAAACAAAGCTTTCTTTTCAATTTTCTGAAATTATGAATTTTAACAATATAAATCCTTCATAATGCCAGACATATTTCTTGGCTTCTTCCTAGAAAACAAAAATAACACCCAAGAAAATATGTTCTCATCCATCTTCATTCCTCATATAAAATATTATTTTTTCAATCATTTCCATCAGTCCTTCAGCTAAAATGTTCTTCATGATTATTTGTCATCAAAAGATTAGGGGTCTTTGGCTTTTAATAGTTTTATAATACTGGATTTCTATACTGCATTACGTTTGTTTGGTAATGCATGCAGATGGATTACTAGTGTTTCACAGAACAATTTGGTTTTGTCTTTGGCAATTCACGCATTTGAATAGCATCCTGCAGGCAAAATCTCCCAGCTAGTGTACAGGCAAAAATACTGCTTCTTGCTAAAGGTATCACAGCCTTTCCTCTGCTCTTCAGTTTTAACATTTAGAATAGTGATTACTTTGATGGCAAAATCAGCTTCTAACTAGCAGTTTACCTTGTAACAGAAATTGTATTATGAAACAATCAAGTACCCATCAGCAAAATTCATTTGTAATATAATGAAAAATGCTCAATATTACTACATTATTACTTAAATAGTGAGATAACATTTAATATATGTCTTTAAATTCAGAATGGAACACTATGTACATTTTTATAATCAAAGGTCAGAATCTCCGTAGAATAACTAGTCCACTCACTGAAATAGAGGGTTTGAAAGAAGAGAAAATAAGTGAACAAATAATAATAATCTTTAACTTTGGTAAAGTTAATTCCTTTGTTGCTTTTTGTTTTTTTGTTTTTTTTCAGCTAACAGGAAATATGTCTAATTCACTAAAACTTTCAAGCAGGTGTTTAATGCTAGTAAGTACTTAAGCAGTTACTTTCATAAGTTGGAGACTGATGGAAGTTTTATTGACAAAATAATTCTTTGTAATGTTTAAACTAATTTCCTTCTTACCATTGATAAGCACTCAGCAACTGGCTTGAACATGAGAGGATACAGAGCTGTTTCACCTATGCCCACATTTATTAGAGGAGGGCCATGAAAGCCCTGTCCTTCCAAAACTGCTTCAAGTTTCCAGTCCTGGCTGGACATGTTATTCTGAAATCAAAGAAAAGTCATAAACTAGATTATGCATTTAAAATTTTCAACATGAATTTCAGCTTTTATTTGCAATTATCAAAACAGAGCACAGCTCCTTTTTTCCCAAAATACTGGCTCAGAGCACCTTCTAAATCCCTATTCCTTGGACTCTGAAATCAAAGTAAAGACATAAATTAGATTAGGAATTAAAAGCTTACAATATGCGTTTTAGTTTTTGTTTGTATTTATCATCAAATCAGAGCTCTTCTCCTAAAATACTGGCTCTAAATACCTTCAAAATCTCTTATTTCTGGTAAAGAGTTGCTAGCAATCATAGTATCAGTATCAATACTGTCAGCAAGAAGACTCATTAGAAGAATATGATCATGATACAGTTAACAGTCAAGATGGAATTAATAAGTATCATTATAAACGTTTACAGGTATCTTTACAGTGCTGTTTGTAATGCCTGCCAAAATTCTGTCTCTTTTGCTCCTGTGGGAAATCCTAGCATGCCTTTTTGAAGTGCTGATGTGGTATATTAGCACACAATGCTTCACTTGGCCACTGAGTGTACTACAGGACCAGCCTTGCTTTCTAATTAAGGACTCTCTCCCAAAGGAGTACAGTCCTGTGCTCTCAGAAACTGGACTAATCTCTTCTAAAGAACGGTTGTCTTAAGTAGCATGAAAGCCTATTTATGAAGTGTATTTTCCCTTGCATCTAGACATATCGTAGCACTGCTTGATTGGGGTAGGTAGATATTTTGTAATATATGCCTAAGGGGCTGCATAAAAATCGTAAAATTTAACTAATGATATTCAGCCTCCTACTATTTAAAGGAAATAGATAACTAAACATCCAATCTACAAAAAGGTAAAAAAAAACATCTGAAAAGGACAGAATAAACTGGCATTCAAGAGCTAATATCAGCCTTGTCAAAACAGAGATTAGTCTGATCTACAAAAAGAGGAATTAATCCTTTTACCCAAAATTGTCTTGACCCATGGAAAACCACAGATAAATGCCAGAGGTAAGCAATGGATTTTGGAGAATGAAGATGACAACCTATTTCAATTCTTTCTTCTTTGGAAAGTCTCTTAAACTCAGCTCTCTAAACCTCATCAACAATGCACAATCAACTGTAGTTATCAGAGCTAAAGTCATGGCATGGCATGAGATCTGCAATATCATATATTTAGGCTGGGATTAATATGTATAATCAACATTTAATACTTTGTTATTAACAAGTAAATATCCTAGTAGTTGAGCAGAAATGTCTTGTTTGGAATACTGAGATTTGTAAAATGCCTCAATTTTTCAAAATACTTCTATCACTACAATCTCCAAATCTGTAATAATAACAATTGCAACATCAGTGGCAGAAAGCATTAAAGTAAAAAAAAAATAATAATAAAATAAAATAAAATAAAATAAAATAAAATAAAATAAAATAAAATAAAATAAAATAAAATAAAATAAAATAAAAATAACCTCATTACCCCCCTCATGCTGAAGATAAAATAAAAGTAAGAAAAAGAATTAAGAAGATTATTATTCTTCTCTCTTTTTTTTTTTTTTTTCTTCACTACAGCATCAGGAACAACTATATCCTTTTGAAAAACAGATTGACCAGTTCTAAAACTAGCTGGTCATCATCCTTTTTTAAATGATTGTTTTAAAAGGAGGAGAGAGGAAAAACATCACTGTGATTGTTCTTTGATATGTTAGAGAGGAGGACAGTCAACATTTGTGGGCCTAAGTTGTTTTACTTTCAATAATTTCTAGAGCCATTGTTATCAGTTGTTTCCTTTACCCACACTAGTGATGACTATATTGATGAGTAGCGTGTTTCTCCTTAATCTCAAACAATAATTTATCAGTTGAGAAATGTAGTTGACAAACACGGTCATTTTGAAGTCCTTCTGTGGCAAATTCTTCCAATACAGCATGAATTTGTTTAAAACATTCTAATGAAAGGTCAACCACAAATATCAGAAAATGAAAATACATTATTTTACTCCCTTGCACCTATGCATTAACAAATAGTTTTAATTAATTGCTATCTCAAAACCTGTTAAATTAATGACAAACACAATTAATGCTAAAGGAGTTAAAAACATTTCACAGGATTGTAGGTGATTAGACCTAAGGTACATAATAAGGTCACATGTATAGGATCTATACCTTTTCAATGTAGAGGCTGAAAGTGAATGAGAGAACAATTACATTCATTTCACACTTGTGAAAATTATGGATACTTCTGATGTTCAGACTGAACTTGCTTATCAAGAAAGGAACAAGAATGTGAGATTCAGGCGGGTTCTTATTCTGGTTCTGTCACTGTGTGTTGTTTAAGCAAATCACTTGACACTTTTTTGTTCCGTTTATAAAATGTTTCACCTACCATATAGATGTTATGACAGTTCGTTTGCTAGTGCCTGTAAGAAGCAACACTGAATATGAGGTTCAAAGAACCAGGTCTAGCAGACTGAACAGCCCTACCTTGAATGACAAACATAAATGATAGTTAACAACATAAAAGTATGGAAATGTTTCTGATTCTGTATTCAGTTCAGGAATTGAAAAGCATAGAGTAAACCAGACACAATGCTAGAGCTAGAAAGAATAAAAGTAAAACATGTTCCAGAGGTAAACACGTCTCTTATGCTGAACATAAAATAAACCTTGTAAAAACATATGTAATCATAAAATTAAGCTTAAAATGTAAAAGGACAGGAACAACTTCACATATTTATTTATTTTTTTTTATTCATCAATGTTTGATTTTGCAAATGTAGGGCATATATTTTAGCATAGACTTGTCACATGTGCTTTCCATGGGAGGAGGCAGACTAAATGAGAGATACACATTCTTTCTCTCTCCTTACACACACATACAAAAACACAGATTATATGCTCCATTTGGAGTACTTTTTAATTCCTTGTTAAGAAAACAAGCATAACTTAACAGAATAAATATATGACTGCTAAAGAAATTTTAAAGCATATGTTTATGAACATTTGGAGGTCAACAAAAATAAAAATAAAGCCAATCTGTTTAGAAGCCCTCTGTCTGAGAAGGTGGAAAAAAAAATACTTACCTTTCTGTGTTACATAACAGCCTCATTTCAGCTAATGTAATGTTCAATAAATCAATTGTAAATAAATAATATATGAATACTTTAACATTTATGTGTAAGAAAAGATAATGCTGTAAAATGATTTCCTTTGATTTTCTTTACTATTTTTTCTCTTTCTTAATCAATTAATTAGTTCCTTGTCAAATCTCAGTATTTCACTGAGTATCCACAGTATCATTTTTTGATAGATATTGTATCCATATTTGAAGCTGCTGCCATTCTTTTTTCTACAAAATCTCAGATATTTTTTCTATATAATAATTCACTAGTATTCTTAACCGTTATCAAAAGCATTATCAAAAGGTCACTTCAATTATATATACCAAGCCCTAGTTCAAATCTCAGAAAACATTTTATCATCCTTCTTTGTTAAAGAATTTGTATCCCTTTCTCTTGCAACTCAAGCTTCTTCCCTATCATTTGCTCATTTTTCTTCCTTTAAATCTGAGTTGTCTAAATTGTGAGCAATGATTTTTCTGAAGGAAATGACATTCTAACCTACACTCCATATTCACTCCCTGGTCATATACCTCATCTGTTAAATGCTTAAAATGCAAAATAGATATGATAAAACTATACGTAATATTCTGCCTACACTTGCCACATTTTGTAAATTGCATGTAATCTAACTGTAGCATGCTCTTCAAGAGAACTCCTTTAAAAAAAAACACCACACACAATGAATTGTTCCTTAGATTAAACAACTCTTTTTTCACCTTTAGTATGGTAACCAGTTATTAATTAGCAGATTATCAAATATAAGTACAGAAATGAAACATTAGAAATAAACTCCAATAATTTACTCTCTGAACTGCTAGAAACTAATTTTCCCAATAAGCCTTACACCACATCCAATATGGATTTGGAGTAATAATACTGAAGTCAGTATTTACATGCTTTTGTGGATTTTGCAATAGTAAATTTTAACTGTATTGATCGAGAGTTCAGTTTCTAAGAATCCTTAATCTTAGTTTAGCTTCAGGCAGTAAAGTGAACTTACAATTGGAATATCCTGAATCACTGCCTGGTAAGCTGGAGTTAGAAATTCAATCTCTGCTTCAGCGTGGCTTGTATTCACTACACATTTAATCACATAGACACGAATATCCCGGGAGGACTTCAGGAGAATCTCACAGCGGTAGCAACCAGCATACTGAGGAATGAATTTTATAGGAAGCTCAACTGCATCACTTCCATCTAAAACCAAACAAACAAAAAACAGTGAAAGGTAGCAAAACTTTTCAGAAACATTTATTTTACATGCAGGATCTGGGCAGAGTTCCAGTAAACTGTAAGAGATTCTCCATAGTAGTACATACAACAATTTAAAATGAGCAATGTAGTTTTAGAAGTATTATAATGAAAGAATGGCAAAAGGCCAAGTTTTCATTTAAAAAAAAAAAAAAAAAAAGGATTTAAACATCCAAACAACATTTTCTATTGTCTTTAATAGAGTACAAAGAGGAATATTTTAAAAGATCTGTTAAACGTGATAGATACGCTTATTGTATATGAATTATTGTAAATATCAAAAAAGTACAGTAGTTACTATCAAATGCTCAAACACTTTGGTCAACAATTACCATGAAAGACACTGGAAACAACAGAATTTATTTGGTAGTCCTAATAACAACTGGAATTCTATTAAATTTAGTAGTTAGCATGAGAGCTCCTTGTTAGACGTTTCCTATGCACAATTTTGGATTGAACGTCTGGGTTTCCAAAAAGGTCTGAAGTGTCCAAATTAAACAGAATCATTGTTCTACTTTTGGCTGAGTTAACTGGCTTTGCAGAGAGGCTCAGACAATGCTGTGTTCTAGAGTTTTAATGTAAGGAATGGTGATAACACACAGGTGTTTTCAGTTGTTGTACAGCAGCGCTTGTACAGACCAAAGGACTCATCTTCTCATGCTGCCCCTGCCAGCGAGGAGGCTGGGGGTGTCCAAGGAGTTGGGAGGGGATACAACCAGGACAGCTGACCCAAACTGGCCAGAGCAATGTCCCATACCACAGAGCACCATGCTTGGCAATAAAAGCTGGGGTAAAGTAGGAGGAAGGGGGTGAGAGGATGACACATGTTCAGAGCGATGGCGTTTGTCTTCCAAGAAACCACTACATGTGATGAGCCCTGCTTTCCTGAATGTGGCTGAATATTTATCCGTCTGCTGATGAGAATGATGCTGATAGCAAATGAAGTCCTTGTTTTGCTTTGCTTGAGCATGGGGCTTTTGCTTTACCTAGTAAACTGCCTTTATCTCAACACATGAATTCTCACACCTTTACTTTTCCAATTCTCTCCCTCATCCCTCCTGGAGAGTGAGTGAGCGGGTGCATGGTGCTGAGCTGCCTGCTGGGGTTAAACTGCAACAGTCATAAAAAGTCCAGTTTGCCCATTCCAGTGCATGTAAGAAAAACTCCCCACAGTAATCCCTAGAGTATAGAAGAAGCAAATACAAATGCTTTCTGCATTTGAAAATAGCCAGATCTAAAATGTCTGCTACAGAGACATCCTCTTCTGCTCTCACTTGTAGAAAGAATCAGACTTTCACAGTATCCTGCCCCCTTCACTAGCCCTTTTAGGACACTTTACAAAGCAGAAGGGAAGGCACTTTACAAATGCCACCAACTGGCCACCAAAAGAGTTCCATTCAACCATCCCAAGAGCCTCTAAGGAACTTGAAAAACTGAAGACTGGAGCTGTAACAACTTCCCTGTAGTTTTATATTTAACAAAGACTTTCTTTTCAGCATTTTACAAGATTAGAAACCAATGCCAAAAGCCCACATTGGAAAGATAATGAAGAAGGTCAGAGACAATGTATTGACATGACAGAAACTTACAGATAAAACTCTGTAAACAATTCACTTCTCCCTAAGGGGGAACACCTGGCAAATTCTTGTGGAGCTTCCCTTCTTCTTCCTTTAATGTGGCTTATTTTCTATTGTTTTGTATAACCGGACTTTGAAAGTGCAATCAATCTTTATTTGCAATGCTGCTCATTCTCTTTCATTAAGTGGTGTTCCTCGCATATTCAGTTCTCACCTCTGCAAATGAACAGCAAACTGAAGCTCTCTTGTTGCCTTATGTCATCTGTACTTCACTTTTTGCACAAAAATAACCAAAGTTCAAGAGAGAAATCATATAAATGGCAGTATTAATCTTTCAACATTACTAGGCTATCAAAAAGAGTATAAATTGCACTTCAGGTTTAACCCTCTCTAAAATAAATATTGTTTGTTTGTTTTTTTGTTTGTTTGTTTTTTGTCTTTTTTTTTTATTTTCTGCATTTTTTCATGCAAATTTTAAATGCCATAAAGTAAATTGGGCTTATAAATCTAATTTTAGCATGTTTTCTTCTTACCCAGTCCTGTAAAATATGCAGCAAAGATTAGATTAGGAGCTAGTTAAAAGATTAAAATAATCCATAGGGTCACAACTGACCTTACAATTTCTGGGACAAAAGCAATAACAGTAAGCAATGGCCAGCAGCCCTTGCATTATTTCCATGTAACAGGAAGCAGAGCCTGCATCCATGGAAATGAATGAGACTGCAAGCATTCCTCTGACAGTGAAAAATCAGGCAGAACAATACCAGTTGCTGGTACATTTTCCCTCTCTAGACAGGATATTCATTGTTTGATGGGGACAGATTTCACATGAAACAGGCAAACAGCCCTTGGACCATGGGCCCTAGATTCTCCTTCTTGGATGAGCATCCTAATCATTTTGCTACAGTCATGGTTGCCTTAGATCTGAGCTCTAATCATTCACAGGAGCTCCAATCATAGAATCATAGAATATCCTGAGTTGGAAGGGACCCTTAAGGATCATCAAGTCCAATCATTCGTAGGTTCTCTCAGTTCAGCTGGCTAAGCAAAGAACTCTTCCCATGGCAGTCTGTTGTCTGATAATGAGGAAATGCTTTGGGTAGAGAAGGAACAACAATTTGAACATTCTTGTGCTGAGAAGTGCAAGCAAGTTTCATCACCCAATATCTTGGTCAAACATGCTACATACTAAGGACTTTTAGAAGCAGGAAATAAAACACTTTATGAGAAGTTTCATTTTATAGATTTGTGTTAGATAAATGCCTATGGGAAACATTTACTTGATTCTGAATCTGAATTGGGTTTAGAAGTGAAACAGTTGTCAAAACAAGGGCAGTTGCAAAAGTAGAACTTTTGGTGTAATATGACCATACATTCTTGGAAACCTAATTTACAGCATGTAGGTGTTGATCTTGTTCTCTAGCAAATGGCTAGCATCTTATGCCATCTATTTGGTACAAAAGACAATCAGATCACCATCTGGAATCAATAAAGCCCATGTTTTTTGGTTCTTAAAAATCCCACAACTCTTCATTTTAGGTCTGCCTGACTTGAATTCAAAGTTAATACTCTAAATGTGTTAGCCAATGAACAGTACCTTTAACCTTTAAAACAAAATAAAATAAAAACTCACTTCTTGTTGACATTACAATGAAATGAAAAACATATGCTGGATTCTAGTAAAAATATTACATTGTAGATTCGTTGCTATTTAGGCCTATTATAATTTCTGTTAGGAGGGTAAGGGCTGGAATAGAAATGCGATTCTTTCATATCACAATCTGTTGGCATAATTTCCAGTGGTAGGAAACTACATGTCTTCAGCAGTTAGTCAGCTATATGTACCTTCTATTAGCTTTTATTCAGTAATGATGTTAATATCTATTCAGAAAGTCAAAGCTCAGTCTCACAGTGAACTTAAGTCAGCCTCTGACACCGCACATGTCACACATAATTGGCTACATTGAACTGAAGACCGAATTTGCAGGCACAGACTCCTGTAAGGTTAAATAAGCAACCATGCTGAAGAGCCCAGAACTCTTCTAATTTCTGTTTATGTATTGGGTCTTCAAATGAACTTATCTGAATTAGAACCTCACTCTACACAGTAGTCTTGAAAAATCAACCATTCTTTTACATCCCTTAATGAGTGCTGATATGGTTTGAAATTTTTGCTATCACTGTGCACATTCGTTTGCTGATTAATTTTTTTTAGCTCTATCTGAATACAGCAGAAGAATTTCTAAGAAGCCCACTAACTGATTATTTATTCTTTTCTCCACTTCAATACAGTACATCCTTACACATCTAAGCAAAAAGTTAATACATTAAATCAACTGGAAAAAGGAAAATTATGCTGGAAAAAGAAATGGCCTGGAAGCAGTTTTTTCCTAATTGATTTTAAAATGCAAATGGCAGTGATATATTTTCAGTCTTGTCACAAATACTTATCAGCCTTGAACATGTATCAAATTCAGAAACTGGTGTGTGGCACTATAATAAAGTAGAATGAATAGTTTCTTGATTTTCTTTGTTTATTTTTGCTTATTTTGTTGTTGTTGATTACTTTTTAATAAACATGGACCCACAGTATTCCTAAAGAATAGTTGTAAAAGCTTTAGAGATAAGCAGGCTACACAGTAACTATGCTAAGGGGCAACTGAAATGCTGCCAAATAAGAAGTTTACTTAATATAACTGAAGAAAGACAGTGAAACTAAGGTGCTTTTTTAAGTCACCCGATACACAGACCCTCCTGAATAGGGCTAGCCAAATTATAAAGTATTACATTTGGAAAAATATGCTAGAATAAATTTTTAAGCCTCTGTATCTTACATCACAAGAACAGAGATACAATCTGTCAAAAATAGTTGCCTAAAATTTACATATATCAAAAAGTAATATATGTATGTATGACTAGAATAAGGAAGTGGCTGAGGCAGGATCTTTAAAAAGTGAGCAAGAGAAGCAAAGAGGAGGAGGAGGAGATTAAGCAAAATTTCCTACAAGCAGAGAAGATTGTTCACAACTAATAAAAAGAAGTATACTGAATGCATAAGCGTAAGTTTACACAGGAAGACTCAGAGACAACTTTTTATAACATTTACTACAAAAGAACAAGTTAATGAAAATTAGTAATGAAGTCTTATCGCTTAATACAAGAAGTGCTGGCTAGATGTTTCTGTAGTACATGGTAATACACGTTCTTTTTGTCTGCAATCTAGAATTTTTTAAGGAAAGATGTTGTTTCCTTTAAAAAAATCTACAAAGAAGGACTCCATGGTAGGAAGTCTCTAGATAAATCAGAAAAAAAAAAAATATCAATATATGTGTGTGCATTACAAAGAGCATTTTAGTGACTCTGGCAACT